AAGAGTCCAGGTGTTGTTGGATTCTGGTGCTTTAATTTCAAAATTCATAGCTTCAACCTAATTGGGTTCTTTAGAGGCCTCGACATACGACTTAGGTTCAACTTGTTGAATTACAGCTAAAATGACATTATGATATGAAGATGATAGTTTATTATAGGAGAGGACAGGACTTAAAGGATAGAGACTACCTTTGGAGTGATTGGCAACAATTGATGGTGAATATGTAACATGGAAGTCTTTATATTTGTCTGGCCTATGAATTTGTCTTTTTGATCTTCTAGGTGCCTGAGATGAATATGCAAGGACAACAGGGTCTAAATTATGATCAGTAACATGATCTGGTAATTCAATATCATCAAGGAAAGGGGTTGTAGGGACAGGTAAAACAATAAGAGGATCAAGTTGATTCTGAGCATTAAACGGAAAATAGTCTTCATAAAAAATTACATGTATAGAAATATTGATAGCCTGAGTTTTAAGATCAAAAGTCACATACCCTTTTGTATGCAGTTTAAAGCCTAGAAAAATAGAGGTAATAAACCTAGGATCTAGCTTATTTTTGTTTGTAGATAATGTGTTAGGAAAACAAAGACAACTAAAGACTCTCAGAGTGTTAATGTCGTAAGGTTGTCCATAAAGCATTTCTTAAGGGGTTTTGTTATTAAGAAATGGAGTTGGCATACAATTTATGAGTGTAGCTGAGTGATTCAAGGCATAAAACCAAATTACAGGAGGCAAATTAGATTGAAAAAGTAAGGATTTAGTGACATTGAGTAAATGGTGTTTTCTTTCGACAATTCCATATTGTTATGGAGTTTCAATACATTAGGTTTAGTGTATAATACCAAAATCAACATAAAATTGTTTCATGATGAATTCTGATCCATTGTCTAGCCGAATCATTTTAACTTTGGTGGTAAATTGTCTTTCAACAAAAGTGACAAAAGACTTTAAGTGAATTTGTGCTTCAACTTTAGATTTCATGAGAAATATTCAAACATATCGAGAATAATCATCCACTGTGGTAAGAAAATATTTATCACCAGTCAATGAAGTAATGTGATAAGAACCCCAAATAACATGTATGAGAGAGAAAAGAGAAAGAGATTGAGAATCACTGTTGGGAAATGGAATTTTTCTTTGCTTAACATGTTGACAAGTTTGACATACAAATTGTTTATCAATTGAAAGTAAAGGGTATGTTTTCTTCAGCAATTGTAACCTTTTAAAAGAAGGATGTCCTAATCGAAAAGGTCAAAGATCTATAGCTACTTTATTTCATGAAAAAATTGAATTGTTATGAAAAATAGAAATGGATGGAGATTTATGGTGTGACTAGGTAGGAACAATGGTGAGCTTATAAAGACCTCCCACAAATTCTACTGTACTAATCCTCTATAGGGTTTGCATATCTTGAATAAAAAAATCATTACCCACAAAATTTAGCTTACAAGGCAAGGAAATTGGCATTTTAGATATGGAAATCTTGTTAATTAAATTGAAAAGTGAGTATGTAAAGAACATCCTCAAGATAGAATGAATTAGAAAATTTAACAATTTCGGCATGTGTTGCAGTGATTGTATGACCAGTAGGAAGTTTAACAATAACATGATTTATCTTTCTATAGGAAGAATACAAATTGATAGAAGAAGTAACATGATTTGTAGCACCTAAGTCCAGAATCCAAGCATTGTTGCACACCTTGTTTACATTATAAGTAATTGATAACATATTACCTATAGGTGCATATTTAGGAATAGTGATGGTCCCAATATGATTTACATGTGAGTCACCCTGAAGAGAGGTTCCTTGTTGTTGTAGTAATGCCATTAAGTCTTTATATTATTTAGAAGTCAGTCGAACATCTATATCTTGAGCATCTTCATTTTGTGTTGCTTTAGTATTGCTATTTTTTGCCCTCAAAACATTGGCATTGTTTATTGATGAACCATTTGATTTATGATATTTGTGCCCAGGTGGATATCCATGCTTCTTATGACACTCATCCACAGTGTGATTAGTGAAACCACAATGAGTACAAACCTTAGTGCCTTTACCATTTGAATTTCCTCGACCAAACCCTCCTAAGCCAGCTCTGCTTCCTTTAGAAGAAAAATTCAGAGGAAAATCATTTTTCCTATAACATTTGTCAGTAGTATGGCCATCTTTACCACAAAAATTGCAAGAAAGTTGGGAATTTGGTGAATAGTGTTTATTGCATTAATTATACTAGTATTTCCCAATAGATCATTATTGGTTATTTGTCTTTCTTGTTGAACAACATAAGAAAAGACTTTATCAATTCTAGGCAATGGTTCCATCATTAGAATATTGGACCTAACAATGTTGAATTGATCGTTCAGTCCCCTAAGACATTGCATAACTCGATCTTGTTTCTTTCTCTCGAAGACAGTGGTGAGTGCATTACATGAACACTTTGGATCACACACACACACATAGTATCGGGTCTATAACTTTCCAATTCATCCCAAATTATGCGTATTCTAGTAAAATAATCAGTTATGGATCTATCACCTTGCCTGATGGAAGTTATTTCTTGTTGTAAATTCGAAATTCTCAAAAGATCTCCTTGGGAATATCGTGACTCTAAATCTTTCCAGATTTCTTGTGCATTATCCATCCATAATATGCTTTGTCTTATCAGAGGAGAAACAGAATGAACTAACCATGAAACCACCATGTTATTGCACCTCTTCCAAACTGTATATTGTGAGTCTGTTGACACAAGTCTTTGAATCGAGCTGTCAATGAATTCAAATTTGTTCTTCGCACTCAAAGCTGTAAGCATAGAACAACTCCACGAGTTGCAGTTGGATGAATAAAGAATCAAAGAAACCAAAGCTGTTGCTAGATTTTCTCCAAGATGGAGATAATAGGGACTATGTATATTCAGAGATGAATCTTCTTGTCTGTTCATATTACGAGAGACGAAAGAAATAGAAATAACGATCAAAAGATAAAAGGAGAATGATTTTAGGGTATTAACATGCGCAACAAAGCTCTTCAAAAGAAGAGCTTTGATACCATCATATAATTGGTATCAACCATGAAAGGTGAAAAGAAAAACCAGAAAGGAGGAAGAACGCAGAAAAAAAATAGGAGGAAAAATATTTTCTTTATTTCATTATCATTAATTTGTTAACACTATATCTGTTATATATACATATAAGTTTGTTATGGAAACAAACAATTGACCCACTAACTAACTAAGATTCTAACTCCTGGTCACACCTATGATTAAAATAAATCTATCATATATATGCTAAGATGAGTTTGAATATAAATGGAGAAAGAATTTTATTATCAACAACAATAATAATATTGATTCGAATATAATGTGACATGATGAGTTGTTTTGTGTGAGTTATATGTTGATGTTGGTAGTATAGTTATACCTTATTTCTATACTTGTTATGTTGTTTTTTTATAACTTTATCCTTACATGTTTCTTTATGGTTGGATTACGATGATCATACTTTTTACAAGAGTAGAGTAAGGATAAGTTGGAGAATAAATTCTTTGGGAAGTCATGTTGAGGATGATAATGTTATTTTGAGCTACCCTTGGTATAACATTTCTTTTATAATTTTTGTTTGATTGACTATTTACGTTTACACTATTAATATTAACTATCTACGTTTACACTATTAATATTAAACTACTGTATATATATACAATAATATATATAGTTATTATCTCTTAGTGGGATTATAATTATAACTATAATTGAAGATTTAGGATTTATAATTTATCTATATATATCGCTTGAATAAAAAGAAATGCTCTTAAAATGTAATATTATTTCTCTAATTCTGTATTTGATTAAGTCAAAATAGGGAAAATAGTTAAATAAAAAAATTAAATGAGAAATAAAAAAATAGATATGTTCAGTAAAGGAAATAAGAGAAAAATAAAAGATCAGTGAGAATATTGTCTATGAATTCATGAATACAAATTAATTATTGAGTTTCACCGGATCAATCATATTCATATTCGTGGCAAAAAAAAAAAAAAAAGTATATTGAATTATTTATTGTTTTTATATAATTAATTAAACCAAAACCTAAATCAATTAAGTTTGAAAATAACGGATTACAAACCAGTTTTAATACTTTATATATATTTCATTTATCACTTTCCTATTTGTTTTTATTATTTCTCTTAAATCAGACATATCTAATCTCCGTCTCGTTATTTGTTTCTTTCCTATTTTTAGTTATACCAAACACGCTCTAAAAGAGCACACGAGTGGAGGACCACGCAACTCGCACGAGCAAAGCATCCGGTTCAGTGCTACCGCGGTTGTACCCAGTGCTTCAATTATTCCATTTTAGCTCTTCAAATTTAAATGAATAATTTATACTAATTTATATTTGTAAAATTGTTAATTTATCTATAAATATATTATAAATTTAAAATTGTTAAAATTTTAATGAAAAAAATTAAAATTATTTATAATATTTGAGATATTAAATTTTTTCAATTAAAATTTTAAAAAGTAAAATCACACAATTATAATACTTAAATATTAAGAATATAATTAAACAATTTATTTAATTTAGTCCCTCTATTATTTAAAAGTTAAATTTTGCTTCTTAATGTTTCTCGAAGAGTTCTTTAATGGTTTTTTGGTCCACAGGCAGTTCTTTAATGTTTCAAGACAATACAATAAAGTATTTCCCGTTTAAGCTTCTCTAGCAGAGAGAAAAATATGAAAATGTTTAAATATAAACTCAGAAATATATTTGAAAGTTTTTTTTCTTCTTCTGAAAAATACATTTTATTTTGAGTAGAAAAGTTTCTGTACAAATAACAATGTTTTTTTTTTTTTCTTTCAAAATTAACGCTATCAATCTCAATTAGATAGAAGAAGAAAATTATTTAGCTTTAAAAATAAAAAGAGTAAATAAAATATTTAAATAATAAAAAGAGGAATTTTAGAATAATTGCACAAGTATAAAAGAGAAAATAGAAGAGGATTGGGTGCGTGAGTGAAATGTAAACAAAAAACGCAGCGTTGGAAGCGAAAAGGAGATAGATAGAGAGGGATATCAGATAGATACCTTTGGGTTGGGGTTGAGCTTCAGCCACAGTTTTCATGGCACTCTCGTTTCGACCTGTCATCCACCCACGCGTCACCGGCGGCTCACTCTCCCACTTCCTCCCTCCCAAGCCTCCCCCCGCCGTCCTCCTCCTCACGCGCCGCCGCCTCCGCCTCCTGGCCTCCTGCTTCCCCGACGACGCCGTCTCCACGCGCAACCCCTCCTTCGACCGCGGCTTCTCCGTCATCGCCGCCATGCTCCGCCGCATCGAGCCCCTCGACAACTCCGCCATCTCGAAGGGCGTCTCCCCCTCCGCCCGCGACTCCATGAAGCAGACCATCTCCACCATGCTCGGCCTCCTCCCCTCCGACCACTTCTCCGTCACCGTCTCCGTCTCCAAACGCCCCCTCCACCGCCTCCTCTTCTCCTCCATCATCACCGGGTACCTATTTCCTATTCGATTCTATTCTATTTGGATCATCACAATTTTGCAATCACCGCAATTATGCATCATTATGACTTTTTTTTTTTTTTTTGGTTAGGTACACTCTATGGAATGCGGAGTACAGGATGTCTCTGACGAGGAATCTGGATATATCGGATTCTGGGGATGAAGGGTCAGATTGTGAAACGCGTTTGGAGTTTTTGAAGGTGAAGGATGGAGCGCAAGATGAGGGTTGTGAGAAAATTGAGGTTGTTAATGATTTGGAAAGTAGCAGTAGCAGTTCTAGCATCAAAGAGTTTGCAGATTTGCCTCCTCAAGCTTTGAGTTACATTCAGCAGTTGCAGTCTCAGTTGATAAGTGTCACGGAGGTAACCCTTCCTTTTCTTTTTCTTTAGATTAATTTTGTTAACACAATGATTCTGGAATTGCTGCATTTAGAAGGGTGGTGTGAGAGAGGTGCCTTAGGTTGGATTTTGAGTTTTTGTATGGGAGATTTGTAAAAAGAAAAGGGCCTCATCTTAATGGGGGTTTTATACTTGGTGCTTGTAAAATGTCTGCTTCTTATGTTTGTGTATGGTAAATACTAAATAGGGATGAGAATTGGTTGAGTCGGACTTTGAATATAAAGGGCGAATATATTTTATGAAATTAAAGCTAAGTCTAGTCTATTATCTATCATATGCCTTTTCATAGGTTTCACCTGAATTTTTTAAAATAGTTTACTTCATTATTATTAAAATTTAGATTTTAAAAGAAAAATAAGAAACTAATACAAGAGGAACAACTCATGCATATCCATAACGTAAACTCACACATAGACGATGATGAAAACATTCTAAATAACTCCTTGATCCCATTTGAAATATTTTAAATAACCAACCATGAAGATCAAGAAAAAGAACAAGCAAAGATGCAATTGTTAAAACTTTTATTTTCGATTTCTTATTTTTGTACAAAAATGGAATATGTAAAACGTTAAGTATAATGGAAATGTCAAAAATATTGATAATTTGATTTTTTGTATTATAAATTTATTTATTTAACTTCTCAGCTTTTAGATCAACTCTCCTCATTCTTGGGTCCCTCTAATATTTTAGCTCAAGACTGTTTTGTGTGGTCTGCTAGCACCTCTGGTGTGTATTCCACACGATTTGCTTATGCTTGGCTGAAGGGGATTGCTAACGACGCGATATAGTGGAGGAAAGTTTGGAAGTCTAAATTTTTTAAGAAAATAAAATTTTTGTTGTGGCTGTTGCTTCACCAAGCTCTTCTAACTAACACTTTTAGGGACCGTTGTAACCTTCAAGACTCTCCATGTTGTTCAAGGTGATTAATATTATTATTTATCTAGCATTGTTGTTTTTATTTATTATTTTTGTCTTTGACTCTTTTTAAATTTGAATGTATGAATTTTTTTTTGAAATTTTATCATATGTCAAAAATCCATGAAAATTCTACAAAATCTACAAAGTCTCGTAAAATTCATTAAAATCCTGATTTAAAGTCTTATAGAATTCTACAAAGTCTTAAAAGTCTTATAGAATCCTACAAAGTCTTAAAAGTCCTGCAAAGTCTTTTAAAATCCACAGGAATTTTTTTAACTAAAAAAGTCTTTTAAAATCCTAATTTAATACACTCCACTAAATTTTAATCCAACTTCTTTAAATTCTTTGTAGAATTTGGAGTCCCCAACCCGAATTCTAAACAGGAAACTTTTTTAATTTTTATTTATTTTGATTTTAATTTTTTAAAATTATATTTTAATTCTAAATATTTATTTTTAGTATTTTAATTATAAAATTTAAGGTAAATAACATTATTATCTCATAAGAGATAAGAATATTACACTTACATGTTAAAATATACTCTTTCTAATTTTATTAGAAGACTAATATAAGTAGTTATGTTATTTAATTTGATTGGATTTATAAAATAAATTCATAATTTATCAATTTTACTCTTCGTACTCATCATTAAATTTTCATGAGAATGGTAAAGATAATACTTCATATAAATGTTTATGCACTAATATCAATAAAAATGATAAATAACAATTAAAGAGTCTAAAAGGTGAGAGAAAAACACACACTTTCACAATATTTAATAGAGGTAAAACATAAAAAATAAAATTAATGTTTTAACAAAATTGTAAGCCTAAATCCTAAACCCTAAAAATTGTAAAGTGCTTCATAAAAAAAGACCAATAATTTCTTATAAACTCTGGATCATAATAAAGATTAGATAAATTTTGTCTATTTAACTTAATGTAATTAACATAAATTACACTCTCATTTTTTTGAGAAATGTAAATATTATACTAACCTCCTTCATTTGTTAAATTACAAAATTGACCTCCTACAACATTTAATTTATTTTTTTTTTGTGAGGGGAACAAAAGACAATAAGAAGACAAAAAAAAAAACTAAGAAACAACATCTAATAGAAGCCACTTGAGTATAGATGGAGGAGGGCTCATCCAATACTCAAAAATAGAGGAGGACAAGGCCCCCAGCTTTGCCAAGGCATCTGCATTGCAATTGCGGCCTCTATCAATTCAAAGAAAATTCACGGACCAAGGTTTATCTACCAAGGAGAAAATATCAAGGAGGTAAGAAGCATAAGAGTGTAGGTAAGCTCTATCTCTATGAAGAAGAGACTGCACGATATCTATGGAGTCAATCATACATTGGATAATTTTAAAGCCCATATGCCGTGCGATCTTGAGACCTTCCAGAACAGCCAATAGCTCAGCTAAACAAGGATCACCAAGTGGACAATTGCCGAAGAAACCAACTAACCAACAGTCAGATACATCACGAATCAGACCTCTTGGGTCCCTCTAATATTTTAGCTCAAGACTGTTTTGTGTGGTCTGCTAGCACCTCTGGTGTGTATTCCACACGATTTGCTTATGCTTGGCTGAAGGGGATTGCTAACGACGCGATATAGTGGAGGAAAGTTTGGATTTATCATATTATATAAATAAATAGGTTGACTTATCATGTCTAATAGGCTTTGTTATAAGTTTAGCCTAGTTTTTTTTTAAATAAATATGTTGTTTTAAAAATCTAAACCGAATCTTTTTATTAAATAGATCAGACTATAGACCTCTATTTAATATCTATCCTATGGTAAGTTAGATGGAATTGGTGTATTGGAATTTTGAACAAGGATCTCATTTTAATATCTATCCTATGGTAAGTTAGATGGAATTCGTGTATTGGAATTTTGAACAAGGATCTCATTTTAATGGGTGAATTGTTATTGGAGCATGTAAAATGTTTGCTTGTTATGTTCTTGCCAAGTATACATGACTCAATATGGATTTTTCTGATAGTCATGTGTGTTTAACTTCTACTGCAATTCATATGTGTTTAACTTCTACTGCAACAGAACTGTGATTTTTTCTCCCAAGGGTAGTTTTGGATTGAGGATTCTGGAGGGGAGGAAAGGAAGGGAAGGTAAAGATAATTTTCAATTTAAGTTGGGAAAATTATAAAAAATGAATAGTGGGTGATAGTTTCTCATTTTTTAAAATTTCTCAAATAAGAGGAATTCTTACTTAAAATGAAGATGCTACTCCTTCCTTTACTTCCAGTCCAAACTCTTCCATCCAAGCATGCCCAAACTTAAAGTATAAATAGTGATATACTGAGATTGCTTCAACTTCCCAGAAATTTATTAATGGAAACAACACAAAGGAAATTTCTTTCAGCAAGAATGAAAAGGAATTCCTTCTCTTCCTCTCCAAACTCCTCCAACCAAGCTTGCCCAAATTTAAAGTATAAATAGTGAGATACTGAGATTTGCTTCAACTACCTAGAAAGTTATTAATGGAAACAGCAAAAAGGAAATTTCTTGCAGGAGGAATGAAAAGCAATGCGCCAATGCCTGTTTAAACTTTTGTCTTCTTAAGGCTTAATGCCATGTAATTAACGCTCCTTTCGATGGGCATAATGTGATTAACATTGTAAGGAGTCACCACTCCAGTGGTGTAGTCTAAAGATTGACCTTACTTTCACCCTTGTAGTCTGTGCTCCAAAAGAAGTGATTTTATTACTCATCTGGGATTATTTAAGAGGCAAGCTCAAAGAATGAAAGATTATGTAAAAATGTTGCCTTTTGTTTTCAGGAGCTGAATGCCCAGAAGCAGGAAATGATGCGATTAGAGTATGACAAGGGAAATTGGAACAATTTGTTGGAATATCTTAGGTCTCTTGATCCTGAGATGGTAATGCCTCACTGCACATATTTAATTTGCATTCTATTGCAATTGAAAGTCTTTTCTTCCTCTTCCTTGCTCATTTCCATTAATGTGGGTACTGTCTCTTGTCTTACTTTATGAATATTTTTGACAGGTGACTGAACTTTCTCGGCCTTCGTCAGTAGAAGTGGAGGATATAATTCACCAACTCGTTCAAAACGTATTGAAAAGATTCTTTGCGGATGATGCTACCTCTAATTTCATGGAACAATCAGTAGAAGGAAACATAGACAATAGTGATGAGTTTAGTAATACAGTAGCCACTTCACGTGATTACCTAGCAAAGCTACTTTTCTGGTCAGCACATGTCTTTCTCATTGCACTTCTAAAATGTTTGCTTAGATCCCAGTGATTTCATATTCTAAAATTAATTATATACATTAATGTTTTTCAAAACTCGACTAATCACTGAACAGTGTAGGCAACTAGTTCTTGTTTCAGACAGGAGTCAAACCGGTAATAATTAAATATATGTTTTAATAATAAAATAATATAAAATAATAGCATAAGATATTACATGTCCTTCAAGATAAAAGAATTCATAATAATAGTTAAATAATAACAATCCATGTGTAAACAAAAAAATCATTTAGAAAAACTGGTTCAAACCTGTTTCTTTTCTTCACTGATTTATTGGGTTATTTGAACCGATGACTGAACCAGTGCCTAGTTGAACTGGCCGGTTTAGTCTGGTTTTATAACATTTTGTAAGCACATAAAGACATATTTTCTTCACTCTGCCTAATCAGTGGAGCCTAGTATTTCTTGTGTCTAATCACCTTGAGGTTTTCTTTCTGTTGGCAGGTGTATGTTATTGGGCCACCACTTAAGAGGGTTGGAAAATAGATTGCATCTGAGCTGTGTTGTTGGACTGTTGTAGACTTGTAGAGAAGGTGATAGCCATGTATATTCTTTTCTTCCTCTTCTTCTTTTCATCCCTTCCCCTTCCCATAAAAAATTTTCTATTCAACGAAAAAACTGAGTGTGAAGTAATCACTTGCCCTCCTTGCTTCTTGCTTATGCTTGCATCAATAATGTGGTTTTGGATAAAGATAACATCACGTCTTATATTTGAAACAAAATTGAAGGTAAATATAGGCCGTAACAAATCAAGTGGGAGGAACTAGTCTCCACCATTTATACTGTGTTTGGGAATTCTACTCAACCGAAACTAGTTGAGTTGAACTAAACTGCTTTTTTTTTTCGTCTAAACATATTGTTTTTGTTGAATGTGACTTTCAACTGGTATCCAAACATGTATATAATTTTTTATGGATTATTAATTTTAGGTTAAGCAAACCAATCTCAGCCATTCTCATAAAAGAGTGTGTGTGTGTTTGAATTATAGTTAGAAAGTTAAATTGAGTTGAGTTTAAATTTTCAAATAAAAGTAACATTTTTTTTAGCTTTTGTTTAACTAAAGTTAGCTTGTAATTTACACTCACACTCAACTGAAAGGGAAAAAAAAATTGTCAAATATATAAGTACTGTGTTTGAGACCAACTAACTGAAATTAGAAATTTCAAATGGATAATCAAACATAGCTTGATCGGGCAAAATTAGCTTCTCATCTTTCACATGACATTACGTGAATAAGAGGGCAACCCTTGTTATCATGACAACTACATGTAACATTGCATCACTGAATACTCCCTAGTCACACAACAAAGTCATTATCGTGGCAACCCCTGATATATTCACATAATAACCACTAACCAATAATAAAACATGGAAAAGAGTAGATGACTTACTTATCAAATACTAATTAGGTGTTTCAATTTATTTATCTTTCTTAAAGTTTACAATAACATTTTTTTCTCCAAGTTTTCCTTTCTTCACCTAATTCATAAATATTTTAAATCGCTTTTTATCTTAAAATTTGTTTAATAGGTTTTTTTTTAAAGATTTAATTATATTCAATATTAGTTATCTTGTGCTATGAAAAAGTATATTTATAAAATAAAAACTAATATGTAAAATTAATTTATATAAACTATTTTAATGATAATAAAAAAAAATATTATCTCATTTAGCCTCTCTATATAAACTAAAATAATTATTTTTAGTGAGTGTTTCTAGGATTATTGTTTAATGAGAGTGATTTTAGTTGTCTTTTTAAAACAAGTGTTTGAAAGAGTTTTTTTTTTTTTTTTTTTTTTTTTTTTTTTTTTTT